TGATCTCCAATCTCCCTTGCTCAGTATTCAATTGTTGGTAATAGTCTTCCCAAAGTAAAATTTACATTTACACACTTACATGTGCAAATGAAAGAGACTTCAAAGAGACTGTAATGTTGCATTACAGAGTTTGTTAAAATGTTAATACCTAATAAAGAGAAATTTCTATTCTATTACATAGCTGTTTACCTGAATGTCAATTTTTCATTTTTTGTATGTACTGAAACATAAATAAGTAACCGTGTTTCACTTGATCACTGCAGTAATCTTTACATTTTGTCTTTCTCTTGTAGATTCTGAGATTTATTTCAGATTTTCTTGCTTTTCTGGTACTTTACAATTTTATCATACCTATTTCACTTTATGTGACTGTTGAGATGCAGAAGTTTCTTGGATCTTTTTTTATTGGTTGGGATCTTGACCTCTATCATGAAGAAACAGACCAGAGAGCACAAGTAAATACATCAGACCTCAATGAGGAATTGGGACAGGTAGAGTAAAAAAAATTATTTTTTTCCTATTTTCTACTTCTTTCTTAATATTAAAATTCATTACTGCAGACTTTTTATTGGTTGTGCTTTGATTTCTTATTAATTTGAAGATAAGATATATCTAATGGCAGAAATTAAAAATTTTACATAATCAAAAAAGTGTGTAGTGGAGAGGGAGTTGAGATTTTTTTTTTTTTTTTTTCCTAAAAGGTATATAAAACTCCAAGTCTGTTTTTTGTTTTATTTTACAAAAGGTAGAGTATGTGTTTACAGACAAAACCGGTACATTAACTGAAAATGAGATGCAGTTTCGGGAGTGCTCCATTAATGGCATAAAGTACCAAGAGGTCAATGGTAAACTAACTCCAGAAGGGTTTTCTGAAGATTCTCCAGATGGAAACAGGCATAGTTTGGTAAGCTTTTCCCCTCCCCTGTCCCCAGTTAGGCATCCTAGATAGAAGTGGTTTATTTCAGATAAATATCCTTCTAACACTAGCATATTTTTTAAAAATCAGAACTTCTGAATATTTTTAAGCTATTAAGTGTTACTGAACAAGTAATATTTATTAAACATGTTGAGATGTGATTATTTAACATGGAATACTTGGCAGATTTTTAAGTAAAAACATTTTTTTTTATGAAGTATGTTCAAAACTAGGTAGATACCTACATGTTACAAATAGTTTTTTTTCTTTCTTATAGATGAAAGAGGAAGAACTCTTCTTGAAAGCAGTTTGTCTTTGCCATACAGTGCAGATCAATGCAGATCAAACAGATGGTGCTGATGGTCCCTGGCAAGCCAATGGAATAGCATCCCCATTGGAGTATTATGCTTCCTCACCAGATGAGAAAGCTTTAGTTGAGGCTGCAAGCCGGTGAGTTGTATTGCCAAAACTATCTAATGTAGAAATTGCCTACTAGGGCAGGCAATTAATGATGAAAGCAACCTTAGAAATTGCTCAGAAAGATTGTAAAGCCCAGGGCCTGGTACTTTCCATTTACTGTGAAAACATAGAAAGATAAAATACACAAAAAACTAGGCTTGTTATAAAGTGATATTTATGGAAATCCTTGAGAAATTACAGGGGACAGAGTATGCTGCTGTTAACAGTATTGTTAGAAAGTGGGCATTCATTTTCTCTAGAAGTAGAGAACAGTAATGGGGTATAAGAGTCTCTCCCCTCCACCCCAACAATCAATAGGCATTATGTCTAAAGTGACGATTAAATGTGTATTTTCTTTTTCTTTTAGGGTTGGAGTAGTGTTTACTGGAACTAGTGGGGACAGTATGGAAGTAAAAAGTCTTGGAAAACCAGAAAGGTATTCATTTTTATTCCTTGTTTCTTTTGAAGGATAGAACACTGCTGAAGGTTAATACAATGCTCTCTTAATCCTTTCTGTTCATAAGAAAACCTTACCTTACAGCCTGCTCTTTTTAAGGCTTTTTCCCTTGATGTCTTCAAGACAGCTTGCATCTTATTCCTAACCAATTGAAACTGAGATGCAAGATTTTTGTGTGAGTTACTCTGTGTAGGTGTGTATTGTAACAGTTTGTATCTTTGCCCGTTCATCAAAGGTTGAGGAATAAGTAGAGTTGAAAACTGGGTTGCTTATTCAAGCCTTTGAGTTTGTGCTTTAAGCTCTAGAATTTCTCAGAATCACTCTCATGTATGCATAATATAAATATATATTTTAAACTTTCCCCAAATGAGTAGAAATATTATTGCAAATTGTATATCTGTGGTATGTTGTAACACCTTTTATCTGTGTGATCTGTGTCGGTTAGTTAGCAGTACTTTAAACTTAAATGTTAAAGCTAGTGTTCCAGAAACTATTCCTACTGGTAGAAAAACCTTTATTCTTACAGAATGAAATTAAATGTACATAAATGATGAAAATCAATCAATTGTACAAACACTGATAACAGTGATGGTTGCTCAACAGTAGTAGCATTACTTTTAGAATTTCTGTATAAAAACAACACTTTGGGGAAAGCTCTGTGGGGTAGGTAAATATTTATTAGGTAATTGTCTTTGGAATTTTATTTCTAAAAATGTTTTTTTTCCCCTTCCCTCTTCTATTAAAACACAAAATACAGGTATAAATTGCTTCATGTTTTGGAATTTGATCCAAATCGCAGACGAATGAGTGTCATTGTAGAGAGTCCCTCAGGTGAGTGTTTAGAAGTTGCACAAGCTGCAGTTGAGAACTTCTGAAATAGTATGTATGCTTAATTTCTGTTCTGTTTTACTATTTAGGGGAAAAGCTTTTATTCACAAAGGGAGCAGAATCTTCCATTCTTCCTCGTAGTAAGAGCGGAGAAATAGACAAAACGAGGGTACACGTGGATGAATTTGCATTGGTAAGTGTATATGTTTGCCCAGCTGATCAGAAGAAATTTCTTCTGATACAAATTCTGTGACTTGAAGTGAACAAATTTCAGGTGACACCTTGTTAGATCAGAATCTTGTCTGCTCTGAATGTGGTCTTTTATTTTCTCACAGAAAGGGCTAAGGACTTTGTGCGTAGCCTACAGAAGATTCACACCTGAGGAGTATCAAGAAATTGGCAAACGCCTTCATGAGGCCAGGACTGCCTTACAACAACGGGAAGAAAGATTAGCAGATGTATTCAACTTCATAGAAAGGGATCTGGAATTACTTGGGGCTACAGGAGTAGAAGACAAGTATGCAATGAGGTTCCTGCTAACTACACTCAAAAACATAGCGAGTGTAGGATTTGTAACTGAAATATGATGTGTGCCAGGAAAAACTCTCCTGCCATCACCAGAAGTTCTGTGCCATTCTTGTTTAGTATGTTTGCCACTCTTTGGATTGAGGAGCATTCAAAACATATGTTGTACCGACTGATTTTGGCTTAATCATGATGACATACAGTGTGCTTCATCAGGGGAAATTTAATGTATGTGAAACAGAATAATTGCAGTAAATATTTAGGGTAATGGCTAATACCTTGGGAAAACTTCTGTACATAGCTATTTTACAAGGCATTCTGCTTGTGTAGGGTGTTCTGTAAGTCAGAGGGTGTATGGTACACTGGAGTTTGCAGATGGAGCACTTAAAAGCTTTTTATTTACCACAGTAGATTGTTGTGGACTGTTTTAATGCAGCAGTGATGCCTAATTTAAATGAAGATATGCTTATTACAAAGTTTTGATCACTTAGAAGGATTGAAGTTCAGTTTTTCTTTCATCAAGGCCTTTGTTTTATTTCTGGTAAGAGAATGTCATCTGACAGACTATGATTCTCTGAAAATATATGTAACATCGGAAGTGCAGTCTTAAATCATCATGATAGTGGGGGTTACAGGAGTAACGTGGAGTTACAGTGTGAGCTCTTTTTTTCTAAGTGTCTGATTGGTTATTTAAGATTTTTCTTGTTTCTAGGCTGCAGGAGAAAGTCCAAGAAACTATAGAAGCACTCAGGTTGGCTGGTATCAAAGTGTGGGTACTCACTGGAGATAAGCATGAAACGGCTGTTAGTGTCAGTTTATCTTGTGGACACTTTCACAGAACCATGAACATCCTTGAGCTTGTGCAGCACAAGTCAGACAGTACATGCGCAGAGCAACTGAGGCAGCTAGCCAAGAGGTAAAGTACCTGAGATGTCGTTATCTCAGTGATGATCTTAGCTTGGTTTTCTTTTATTTTCCAGTTTTATGACAATCTCTCTGATGTATGTGCTAAACACCTGAAGTTGCCTTTTTGGAAATGTATTTATTAATATAATAATTAATATAATGTATTTATTAATTGCGTGGGCAACTTCGTAGTTCGTAACAAAATCTAAATTTTTCTGTCACACCAATACAAAGCCAACATTTTTGTCCCTGAATAGAATAAAGGAAGACCATGTTATCCAGCATGGACTGGTTGTGGATGGGACCAGCCTCTCTCTTGCACTCAGGGAACATGAAAAACTGTTCATGGAAGTTTGCAAAAACTGTTCTGCAGTGTTATGCTGTCGCATGGCCCCCCTTCAGAAAGCAAAGGTAAGTGAGAATATAATCAGGGTTGTCTTGTAGGTATTTTTGTCAATCTTTGAGGAGGCAGTGATTTCTAGAACTGCTTTTTCTGCTTGCTTGACCTTTTGTGTGACTTTTAAATCCTTGTTAAATTCAATTGATCTGGAGTAGTTTGCTCAGAAGTTTCTGTGTGTGTTTGTGAAAATTTGCAATTGGATGGAGGAGAGAGTCAAAATACTGCCACTGTGCAAGAAAAAGGCTAATCTTTAATCAGCCTCTTTGAGTGTTCTGTAAGGCAGCATCTATCCTGATCATCTGCATGCTTTTGCATTGCCTGCTCCATCAGTTCTCCAAACCAGAAAAGCTAAATTGAAAATTTGTGAAGCTGTGGGGGGGAAAAAAAAAAGTGCACCTCTAAAGATTTAAAAAATACTCAAGTTTGAGGAGGAAGTAGAAGGGAATGAAAGTTGAGGCGTCGTCTCCTCATCTCAAATTCAGATTTTGTGATATTTCTTTTTTTAACCCCAAAAGGCTAAGCTCTGAAGGGCTATTATTTATTCTTTCCTTTTGAAATTTTCTGTCTTCATTTTATGCTTCTTTTCCTTTTTTTGGCTAATACTCAATTACATACCACTATTGGAGTATTTCTTAATTTATCATACTTTTAGCTTATTTGTATGCTTTAAAGGCTTTTTGCATGTATTTCCAGTAATACTAAACCTCTGAAGGGACACTGTTGCCCACTCTATTTTTACAACTTGTGAAAAAGAAAAGGAAACAAAGACATCTTTTTACCTTAAAACACCAGGAAACCCTTATGTGAGGTACTAGATGTGCAAAAGAGGGCAGGCTGTTCTACTATAGCATGAGTGGCCTGTTTTGAAGTCACTCTTCCTACTTCCCACATTTAGCCAGACTTTTAATGCAGTCTTTAGAATCACTTTGTTATAAAACTGTTCAACTGTATATAAAACTTAGTATAATACTGGTTTCAATAAAACGTTATTATGTTGTTTGTGACTACTATGAATAAACCAATTTGTTGTATGTGTCCACTTTATGCTCTTTTAGCTGAAATTTTTGCCATCCTCTCTGTATAAGGTGTGGTTATTTGCCTGTGTTGTGTCCTTGTTCTTATTTTGTCATTTAACTTGATTTATAACATGTTTTGTACTGCTGCATTTGGCAGATAGCAGCCAGTAGTACTTTCCTTAAATCTTATCCTGTCCAGCAGATAATGTCTATTATTTCCTGTGTTTTACCATGAAGTACAGTAAAACCTAATTTTCATGGCAAGGACTCTTTAATTTTAAACACTGAAGTTCATAAATCACTGAAACAAGTACCATACAACATGGGAGGGAAGGGTGGGGAAGGAAATGTATTGCAGTTTCTTCTAGCCTTGCATTTGATTTTGTGCTGTAGGCATACTTTTTGTGAGGTTTATTCCAAGGTTAAGCTGGAACTCAGCTTAATATTTCCCTCATCTTTTCCTTTAATTTTAATATTTGTTAATATATGGCTAGCGGTTTCACTACTTATTTTTGTATATTTTATGACTCAGAAGCCTTTTTAAACATCTTTCACATCAGTCATTCAGAGCTGCTGCTGATTGCTGTTGGTAAATTTGCCGGAGGGTTTGTCTTGACCTTTTGATATGGATCTTTGTCTAAATTACCACACAGTATCTCATGAGGACTGGTCTGAGTGACATACTGCAGCGTCACTACCTCTTTAAGGCTGCTTACCAAGATCTAATGCTAAATGTACTTGAAATAATTACCCCTTAGGAATAGGGAACCTTTAAATTTGAATATTAATACCTGCAATTAGGGAATGCATTCCCACAATCAGGTTAATTTCTCTGAACTGTGGACTGTATTTAATCACTGCTGTGTACCTCACGTGAGGTGAGTTACCACTCCTATGAATCAATGCACTGACACTGCCAGCTAGAACTCAGTTATTTGAATACAGTTGTTTGTGTCCATGTTCCTCATGCAGTTGTTGCTCTGTTGATATTTCCATTTTGGGTTTTCTGGAACTTTGGGGAGAAAATGCATTATTTTTTCATAGATAAATATTTTTTGTTTTTAGAAAGCCTTCTGGATTTTCATTCACACCTTTATCTCTGCAGCCCATTTATGACTGAATTAGTGAAACTTCTGACTTCAGTTAGAGCTCTCTGGAAGGTTAATGAATTACTCATTCCCCTTAACCAAAAGCCTCATCTAATTAACTCCTCTCTATTTAGAATGTTATTGGCACTTACATTAAATATGTGTTTCCTCTCTGCGAGGAGTGGGCTATCACTGCTCTTCTTCGGATTATTTGAGAGCCTTGTATGTAAACAATTTTTTTTCCTCTTTCTCTCATATCTTCTGTGACTTTTCAACTGAGAATACCCATTGGTGACAATGAAGTTGCTTTAAAAAGAAACTATTTTCCTTAATAACAGCATGCATTGATCTTTGAGCTAATACGTAATTTTTTTAGAGTCCTCTTTTACACTGATTAGTTCCATTAATTGAAAATGTGAAGAATCTGGGCATGTCTAGTAAAGAGCATTAAATCTGGATTACTGTCTTAAACAAATTTTCAGTTCCAACTTTTACTTGACTGTTCAGTATGATAAAGCACCAAATTAAGAGTTGTAAAAGAACATCTAGATAAGGACAGTAAAATAAGCTCAAGGTAGGAATAATATTTAAATAAGGCTCGTACCTCAAAGCAAGCAGCTTTTCTAAAGCAACGATGAAATTGCACATCTGATATGCCAAAGATTTTTTTTACCCAAGCGTGCACATTCATGAAACATACTAATTATATTTACAGGTAGGGAATCACAGAATCATAGAATGGTTTGGGTTGGAAGGGACCTTAAAGATCATCCAGTTCCAACCCCCCTGCCATCAGCAGGGACACCTTCCACTAGACCAGGTTGCTCAGAGCCTCATCCAGCCCGGCCTTGAACCCTTCCAGGGAGGAGCAGCCACAGCTTCTCCGGGCAACCTGTTCCAGTGTCTCACCACCCTCACAGTAAAGAATTTCTTCCAAATATCTAATCTAAACCTGCCCTCTTTCAGTTTAAAGCTGTTACCCCTTGTTCTATTTCTACCTGCCTTTGTAAAAAGTCCCTCCCCAGCTTTCCTATAGGCCCCTTCAGGTACTGGAAGGCCGCTATAAGGTCTGCCCGAAGCCTTCTCTTCTCCAGGCTGAACAGCCCCAACTCTCTCAGCCTGTCCTCGTAGGAGGGGTGCTCCAGCCCCCAGATCATCCTCGTGACCTGCTCTGGGCTCATTCTAACAGGTCCATGTCTTTCTTGTGTTGGGGGCTCCAGAACTGAACACAGTACTCCAGGTGGGGCCTTACGAGAGCGGAGTAAACAGGGAGAATCACCTCCCTTGACCTGCTGGCCACGCTTCTTCTGATGCAGCCCAGGATACGGTTGACTAACTAACTAAGCTACTTGGGGATTAGTGGCATGGTTTGCAGATAGGCTGTCTGTCTGATCTGAAAAATTTCTGCCCCCTTCCCTTTTTTTTTTTCCCCAGGTAGTGCGACTGTTAAAGACTTCTCCAGAGAAACCTATAACATTAGCGATCGGTGATGGTGCTAATGATGTGAGCATGATACAAGAAGCACATGTTGGCATAGGTAACTTTCTTTTGTCCGAAGAGATAAAGGCAAATAAGATGCAAATTTTAGTAGAGGATTAGGTCATTAATAGTGTTTATGAACAGATCAACTTCTAAGGCTTTTGCACCTGTGAATGACAGGGTGTTAATCTGAGTCATGTGTTGTAGCAGAGTTTTAGTGAAATTTCAAATTTAAGACTGTTTGCTTTCAGAAGTCTTTACGTTTGTGTAGTCTACCAATAATGGAGGTTCTACTTAATGCTGCATTAGAAACAGCAAAGATTCTCTGTAACTAGAATCTCAGAAGGACTCTGCCTCAGATATTGGAAGTGGAGATCTCTGACTTCAGACACTGTCAGTTTTAAGTTCCTGTGTAAACTTGACTTCTAAACCTTTCTTTACACTAAACTGCCACTGTTTGCATTGTATCTGTATCACTGTAGAAATGCCATTTGTGTCTAGTTTGTCTTTGAGGAGAAGGCTTTCATTATATCTCTTGGGAGACTGTTACTGGTTCTCATCTAAGCTTGGTAGCTTTCTCTGTCTATATTGTTTTCTATTATCAGGCCAGGACCTTCTTTAAACTTTTTTTTCTGCTTTGTTGTTTTATAACTGAGTACAAAACAAAACATACATGTAACTGAATTGGTGCCCATCACATAGTGTTTTGGTACTTCCTTTACTGACTTTGTTGGATGGTGTTTGTTGCAATAGTAAATGCTGAAGGTTCTTACATAAAATACTGGTACATCAGGATATTCAGTCTGTCACCCTTTGTGATTGAAAAGGCACATGTAATGTTTGTCATGTAAATCGTGTGACCATGATTTTTAAGACCGCGGGTATAGCCTGCTTGAGAAGGTTACAGGCCAATAGCAAATGATGCTTCATTCTACAACTAGTTTGTCAGCTAACTGAAGCTTATTAAAAATAAGATTATCCAGGTTTTTATTGTTGTTTGTAGCATATTAGACATTACGTGTATGTTGGTCAGAACTTTGGGATGGAAAGTGATGGGACCTCTAGACTATTTTTTTTGTGTTCTCTGTGTATGCTTATCCTAATCTTTATAATAGTTTTTATAAATTAATTTGTGTTCAGCTGTGACAAGTGCCAAGCGTTGTCAGCCCATCAGAGTAAGCAACCTGCTATTGTAAGAACAGCATTTCTTTTATTCTGCCATTGAGTATAGAGCATATATTATTCCCAGAAAGTACCATAAGAAAAACCTCTCTGAAGTAAAACATACCAAGTAAACTGATAATTGATGATGGATTGATAATGGTTTGCTTGGTTTGGGAATTTTGGTTTTGTATAAGTGTTATTATTTCTATGTCTTACCATAAATATTTTCTTAAGCATAGCTTATGGAAATAGTCTTGTCTTTTTTTTTTGTCTTTTTTTTTTTCTTTTTTTAATCAACATCGAGTAAGTCATTTACCTTAGTTATAAGGGTCAGGAATAATGCCTTCTTTTGCAACTGAAAGTTGGTGAAGTCTTTATAATTTTGAAGTGCAGGAAAACAGAACTATAGCTTCAGATATATGTTGTTGGGGTTTTTTTAAACTTTACTTTTTATAATATTTAACATGTTTTCTGTTTTGTTTCCCAAATATTACAGGAATCATGGGCAAGGAAGGGAGACAAGCTGTAAGAAACAGTGACTATGCAATAGCACGGTTTAAATTCCTCTCCAAATTGCTTTTTGTTCATGGGCACTTTTACTATATTAGAATAGCAACCCTTGTACAGTACTTTTTTTATAAGGTAAGTCTTCAAAGAGTGCCAGTGAAGTTCTCTCTCTCTCCCCCTCTCCCCCTCGCCCTCCCCCCCTCAACATGATCATCAGTTTTGATAAGAAGTAAAAATTCACTTTGTTACTTGAAATTTATCTGAGATTATAGCATTGACCACCAAACCACTTTTTGTCTTCTGTTGTTTGCTTTAAGTAAAGATAAGAGCATGGTGTTAAGTTTTGGTTTCTGTTTTGTCTACTCCCATGCAAAAAGCTCATATAAGCAGGGTACAGACTTTCTTGACTCAAATGTGGAAACTATTTTGCAAATAAATTTTTAAAAGAAACTGAGGAGAAAATGGATTTACTTCTCCTCCTTTAATACTACTTGTATTCCCATAATGAGATGTGTTCATCAAGCACATATGATTAAGCTTATATTTTTCAGGTTCATTGTCCCAAAGAAAATACACTCTAGAGCAAAGCATATTGCTTCACTTTGCCAAGTAAAGTGCAGAAATGCTTTATGATCTCCCTGTGTTTTTACCAGCTTGTAAGAGTTAGTAATGTCTTTTAGGATTGTGAGGCCATATACTGAGATTAACCATTTCCTTCATTTTTTCTTTTTTCAGAATGTGTGCTTTATTACACCACAATTTTTATATCAGTTCTTCTGTTTGTTTTCACAACAAGTAAGTATTGGGTGCCTTACATCTTGGTAAATATGTATGAAACAGGGTAAATAACTAGAAAAATGGGAAAGAACTATACAGGAGCAGCACATATTTTACACTTAACAAATATTCAGCTTAATTTTCTGTATTTCATAGCTTGATGTTACTAGATGGTCATGCGAGTATAGCTTTTTTATAAGTAGTAAATTCACTTAATTAATGATTTGTTGCTGCTGCTGTAGCTGGTATGTGAATAAATTTTAATAAATATAAACATTATTTTTCTTTAAAAGACTGAAAATAATTTTTCTTTCCATTTTCAGACGCTCTATGATAGTGTATACCTGACTTTGTACAATATTTGTTTCACTTCCTTGCCTGTCCTCATATACAGTCTTTTTGAACAGCATGTGCATCCGCATGTATTACAGAGTAAACCTGTGCTCTATAGGTATGTATCGTTCATATATTGTCACAGTAGCACATTTAAACAACAGTGGCATCTGCAGAAGCCAGAACTTGCTGTTATGCATTCCTGTATTATTTTTATCTGTAATTTATGCAGTTTTTAGTAACTATCTTGAGGGAGGAAGAACTGCTGCTACATAGTTTTCATCCTAAAAGTTAATTAATGTGAGTATTTTAAGAAAAGCATCTTTTTGTGAGTCATGCTAAGACTAGAAGAGAATGGAGTACTTGGTCAGCTTACATGATTGGCAGCCCTTCTCCTTCTTTACATATAGGAAGTGAAAATCACTCAGACGTGCAGATGAAAAACTAGGACACTGTAGTTAGGGGAATTACCACAAAAATGCTTTAATGAGAGGAGAAGTGATTTCATATAGAATTAGATGTCCTCCCAGTGGTAGCATGTTGCACTGCATACTGCTTTTTGGAGAAAAAAGTGTATATTTTTGTGGAAAAAAAAGAGATGTCTCTTAGATGTTTCTCTTTTCCTAAAGATCTTTAAAGCAGAGCAAGGGGCAGGTTTCAGGAGATCCGACTTTTTCTTCTTCTTGCAGTTCCACCTCTGGGGAGAAGAATTCTAGTTTGCGCTATTCTGAATTTGACCTATAAAGACCCTTGCCATAGGTGATCCCTGCATAAAGCAGAGGCAAATCATGAGAGCTCAAGAGTTCTTTCTCTGCCCATGATTTATGTATTTTTTTCATATGTCAGTATTCGTTAAATGTATGTTGGTGCAGTTGAAAGTTACATGTATTCAAAGCAGTAGCAGTCATGCAATGTGAATAGCTGATGGATTATGCAAAGACAATCTGTAATCCAAAATCTGTTTCATTTCTGCAGAGACATCAGTAAAAATGCCCATCTGGGGTTTAAACCATTTATTTACTGGACCATCTTGGGCTTCTTTCATGCATTTGTTTTCTTTTATGGATCGTATCTTCTAATGGGAGAAGACACTTCTCTGCTGGGAAATGGCCAGGTACAATATAATAAAAATTATTCTACTACTGTATTTTTTTGTGCTATTTCTTAATGTTTGGGTTTGTTTTTAAAAAAAAACCAAAAAACAAACTAACAAAAAACCCCTCTTGTTTCAGAAAAATCTAAGGGTTTTTTTTTTTTTTAATGAACTACATTAAAATTTAGTGAACTACATTAGCATTACCAAAGATGCTTTGCCAGTATTCGTGTGTACTCTCAAGAGTAACATTTCTTTGAGTGGAAACTGTAAGACTTGCTGTCAGAAAGTGTATGTCCGTGAAGAGCATATTTCAAGATAATACATGTATGATAGTTGTCTTAAACTTTGTTTTCGTTTGTGTATTGTTTTTGTCAAAATCATATGTCATAACTTCAGTGAATGAGAATTTATATTCATTCATTCAAGACTCAATTTTGAGTTGGATTTAATTACCATGTCAAACAATGGCTTCTCTTAGCACCTGTTATAAATTTAGGCTTAAATCTCAAGATGCCAAAACTCTTAAAGCTTCTTCTGACAAGGTATTATTTCAGTTACTCAGAATGTTTAAAAATTAAGTGATGCAAACTGCTTTTAATTTATACTTTTTATTTAATAAATGTTTTTAAGACAATAACATAATTAAATAATCAAACACTAGTTTGACCCTTTCTGTTTTTAAAATGTTAAAGTTAACAGGAAAAATAATATACAGAAAACTCTAAAGCTTGGATGAAACCATTACAAGTCTCCTTCCTCACTTTCCCTGGTTCCGAGTTAGTTAACCCCTCTTAGAACAATTTAAATTCTGATTTTTCTCTCATAAAACTGGTTCAGGTAGTGATGCAAAAATACATTTGCTTCTCTCATCATGCCATTCTTACTGCTGACATGAAGCGCTTGCTGATTCTTGTGTAGTGCTTGGTAGAGTTGCAAGTTATGGCACAAGGTACAAGAACATTGTTGTGCTGTTTACAGTGGTCACCTGGTGACAGGGAGTGGGCATGAGCTCAGGAAGTTTATTTAAAAAAAAAAAAAAAGAGTTTCCATATGAAGATGTACAGACAATGGCTAGAATTGTCTTGAGTGACCAAAATCAGAGAGCACGTGAACTGGTGGTTAGCATCCCTGCAGAGAAAGGAGCAATAAATGGGGAAAGGTGCAGCTAGCTGCAGTACTTATTTAATCATGAAACACTTGATAGGAAAGTTAAAGTAGTTGTGCTGTAGACTAAAATATGTCTTACAACTGAGGTATGAGTCTGCTCTCTGCCATTTGTTATGAGCTCTGTAACTTTGAAGTCCTAGTGAGTTGAAAAAGGACCTTCAGTACTCTTCTAATGAAGCAATTTTACACTATGAATTAGTGTGTTTCTGTGCATCTATCTTGGTTATCAAAGCACCTCACTTCAGAATTGCTTAGTAAACATCCACAAAGCAGGAACAGACTTTTTTTTCATTGTATTAAGTAACAAATGTTTAGTTTGGGCAACAGATTATGTTGTATAAATCTAGACCAGTGTGTTAATATAGACTTTTATGGAGAAGGCTCCTTTAATGGTTTCTTGTATAAATTAACGTCAGGATTTTCGAAGTATACTTAGTGAATGAGCATACTGGAAATAAAGCTTTCAGATGCCCTTTGGCTTCTCATGTTTTCTGTGATATGACTTAAAAAAAAAAAAAAAGGTCTTTATTTATTTGAAGTTGCTCTCTACATTCTCTGTGTTTGCTGAAAGATGGCTGTTCGAACTGGTAAAACTGTGTGTTGTAGTAAAATACCTGCGCTGCGTAAAGTATGTTGCAAACTTAATATGTGCCTGAAAAAGCCAAAGTTAAGAGCAAGAAAAACTCGTGTGCTGCTGAAGTGCTTTCTTGTAACAGCCCCTCAAGAAGTGATTCACCCTGTATCGCTTTGGGTGAATGTGTGATACAGGGTAGTGTCAGTGCAAGTCTCATTTTTTCCATTGTGAGTTCTCAGTTTGGAGCAAAGCAGAATTGAAGAGGTTGTAAATGATTTGTTAATGCTGGTGGGTTGTTAGGCTTACCTCAAGACATTGTGCAACAATTTGATCTTTTAGTTCTTTTTTCTCCCCCCTTTTTTCATGCTGTGCATGTCGTCAGATATTGAAACCTAACAGGCAAATGGTAAGAGTTTAGAAGAGGAGGAGATACAAAATATTGTATCTGTTACTTCACAGGATTAAAGGATGCAGCATCCACAGTGTAAATGTGTTCAAAAATAAAATGGTGGCAAGAACCCGTTCACGTTTTGCATTCTAACTCTATGACCATCGAGAGCAGTGTTAGCAAAGACACTTTCTTTCATAGGTCACTCAAGAGCATTAGTCTAATTTTACTTCAAGATTATTATTGCAGCAGTTAACAGCAAGCGTGTTGCTTGTTAAACGTTACTATTGGTGTGAAAAGTAAATAGAAGGCTTCAGAGACCTGTTGTAACAAAGATCTTTAAAATTGTCAGTAAATCCAGACTCATGGCTGCCTCAATTTTTTGCCTTGTGTAAAGAGGAGAAAAGTGGTTGTGAGGTCGGCCATCAGGCTGTTGGGATTTTTTTTTTTTTTGTCAGAGCTCTGTAACAAGAACTACAACTGTGTGAATCCCAGTTTCGTGCCTCTGTGCTATACTAACAAATCAACTTTAGGATGACGTTTGATTGCCTGTCTGCATGTGGTTCCTTTCTCCTTGCTTGCTTAGTTTGCTACCGGTAAATACCAAGTTGAGGGTTTGGTCATTGTCTAGTAAGTCAGTGGCAAAAATAGCTGTGAAATCTTAACTTTCAGCACCCACACTGCTTACAAGGGCAGAGTAGTTGGACCTGTTGTAGAATGGCAGCGTGTGTCTGAGTAGCATGTGTGTAGAGGTAGATTACAAACTCAGCATCCCTGCTTGGTTGTCAGAGCTGAGATTTTATTGTTGTAGAACTTGTTCAGAGTTTTGATAGTTTAATTTACATGTGCAAGAAAATACAAAAGTGACAGACACAGCATTTTATAATTGAAGCTTAATTTGTGTTTATTAACCTTGAAACAAAGTGTCTTTTCCTTAGAATTTTCTTTGAAAAATACAATGGCACCATTATTTTTGAATTGTTAAATTGTGCTTGGGGTAAAAAGTGAACTTTCAGGTGATGCTGCATGTTGAAAAAGGTCTGGAAATGTTTAAACTCAAAGTGCTTTGCACTTATGTTAATACGAATACCTTCTACCCAGTATTTGCTCTCTATTGGATGCTTATACTTAATTGATCAAATTGATATCTTCATCTTCGTGTCATTTCATGTTACTGTTTTGGACTTTCTTCATATATCATGTAGCCTTTGTGGTGATTTGTTATGAACCAAGAAGAAAGATGACTTGTGGGTTGTTAATTTTGCTCCTAGTGTAAGCTTTTTTTTTTTCCTAGTAGTTTGTGTTGTATTAGTTGTCACAAGCTTTTGTCCACAGAGTTGTTTCGTTAGTGTAGTTGACTTGAGAAGAATCTAATTTACTGTGAATGCTCTTAACTGATTTTTTTTTTCTCTTCCATGGTTTTTGCCTTGCCATTTTCTTAGATGTTTGGAAACTGGACATTTGGTACTTTGGTCTTCACCGTTATGGTTATAACTGTTACGATGAAGGTATGATTTTATACTAATTACTCTTTATGTTTGGATGTATAAGCAAATTGTGTAATAAAGCAGTAATTTAAAATTGATTCAAAAGTTATACATAAATAATTGATTCCTGAGGATTCCAGATAAGTGATTTTTATGTTTGGTTTCAGTAGCAGTTAAAATTTTTCTTTGTAGCTTTTGCGTGTTGCAAAAATATTTAATGTTTGAATGGAAGACCGGTACTTATCATTTTCTGTGAAGTGTGGGGAAAAAGGAAGTTCACTAAAGTGATCTTTGTTTTAGATGGCGCTAGAAACTCACTTCTGGACATGGATGAACCATTTTGTTACTTGGGGATCCATTGTATTTTATTTCATATTCTCCTTGTTTTATGGGGGAATTATCTGGTGAGTGATTTTTTTTTTTTTTGTTTCCCCTCTCTCCTTTCTGTAGCACATATGATATGTGAAGATATGAAAAAACACTGAAGTGTTATGTTCTACCATGTTGCTCTGAATTTTGTGACAGGTGTTGGGGAAAAAAGTTTTTAAACCTAGAGCAGCCACTCTAATTATAATAGGTAGATGTTAGCAATGAAATGAAGGCACTGGGATTTGAATCAGTAAACTGATATATTTTTGCTTGCATTTTGGGGTCTTGGAAAGATAGGATGGTGATTGATTTCCTGCAACACAATGTAAAACTAAACCAGCATGTTTCCCTCCAAATTTGGTACCCTCCTTCCCAAGAGTTACTTTGCAGGTCAGGTCCAACAGATTGTAGACTTCTTCAAAGACAATATGCACTTGTAACTCTACATCCTGAGAGACTTCCTGCTTCATGTAAAATCAGATACACTTGAGCCTGCCTGTGCTGTACTTTTGTTTCTAGAAGTTCCTTTTCGTAATTTGCACTTCTTTTAACTTTTCAGGCCATTTTTACATACCCAGGACATGTACTTTGTATTTGTTCAACTGTTGTCGAGTGGTTCTGCTTGGTTTGCCATAATCCTCATAGTAGTTGCTTGTTTGTTTCTTGATGTTGTGAAGAAAGTGCTGTACAGACATCTACAACCAACAAGTACCGAAAAAGCTCAGGTAATGTTATGCTTTTGTGTCCAACTTGATCAATAGTTAAAAGAACACTTTTGTTAAAATCTGTCTTGTAAACTAATTACTTTCCTGTGATATTTAATTATCCTCTCATTGTTGTCATGTTTAATGCATAAAAGTGATCTCATTTCAAAAGGTAATTGTTAATTTAAAATTACAAAAACAAGGATACCATTTTACAAGGCAATAACATTTATGTGTAAGTAATTAATATTAACAAAAGTAGAATTATTTATAAAGGGGTGACTCAGTCTTTTGCATCTTAGCTTGTAACTGTATGAGAGGATCATACTGTGCATTCTTGTACTGCTTTAAAGATGGTAACTTATTTTTGTCAAGGTATTAGAATCTCTCTCTTAACTGTAATTGGCAGTGATTAGTTCTTAAAATGTAATTAAAATAATAATATAAAAACTTATTTTAGTAGGAATTGTCTTAGTTAGTATTTATTAAATCTTGATCATATCATATGCCATGTATTTAATTATTGATTATGCAATCAAAGATAATTAGCCATGTGGCATTTTTGTAAATTCATAGAAGAGGTCTAAAGATATGCTGTGATAGTAGAATCTCCCTTTTGCCTGACACAGGCTGCAAAAACTTCTTGAAATCATTCTGTTGAAATCTGGCTGTCTTTTAGGTAGATCTCTCATCTGTGTTTCAGTGTCTTCTTCTTTTTAGTGACAGTAATGAAGAAGTCATTCTGACCCATTGTTCTAATAATTACTGTCTCTAATTCGTTTTCAGCATTTTATCTTTTTATACTTCTTCTGCTAATCTGAAGAGCCTTCTATTTACAATTTCTTATCTTATTCACGGTTAGGTTAGTGGTCGTATTGATTTTTCTCCCTGATGAGTAAGTTGGACTGGCATCTTTTGTCAAAAAGGTTATTTTCCAGTCTTTTAATCATTCTCATGTTTCTTCTGTAATCTTCACTGTTCCCCAGCCTCATCTTGAATTTTGGATTTCACCAGTGGACACAGTATTCCACCACAGCATACATCAGTGCCAAGTATGGAAATAATGAATCCCTCAGCTCTATTCAGTTTATAAAATAAAATATATCAGTAACCTGTTCCTTCTGCATCTTTTTCTCATCTGCAAGTGATTATGTTGGTTTCTTCCAAGTCATTGTTGAGACCTCAAATAGTATAGGGCCAAAAAAAATGTGAAAGTGAATGAAAAATCCACTTAACAAAGATATCCCATATACAGTTATGTTCTGAAACTTGTCATCAGTTTTCAGTCCATTTGTGTGCCATATTGATTTTGTGGTGTCCTAGGTGCTTAATCCAAATTACACTGAACCATACAGAACTCTCACCTGCATTACATCAATACTGTTACCTTTAATTACAAACCTTGTAATTACTTTGATGTAAGTGCACGTTGATTCACTTAAATGATGTTACCCTTCTAATTTGTGTGTTTTAAAAAAAAAAATATCTATGTGAGATCTCTTACTTTGCCTAGATCAGCATCATGCTGACAAAGCTATTGCTAGCCAAAGTATCCCATTAGTCCATTTTCAATACTGCTGCTTTTTTTTCTGGTCTTGGAAGTTAGTAGCTAAAATCTGAGGTAAATAGCCACTAGCTAGCAGAAAACTGTTCAACTAGACCTGGTGAGACTCTTGATTGCATGTTATTGCACTGTTTGGATTAGAGAGTGTTGATTTAGGAGAAATTCTACAGGTAATGATAGTTACTTATCTTTTTTTCTTCTTCTTCTTTGAAAACTAGTGGCAACATTTATCAAACACTTCCCTTTCCTTCCTTCCTGTACAGCAGCTGTTTCTATTTGGCAGTATATTGGTATGAGTGTTGAGGCTTCTCATGTTCATAAAGTGCTTGAATTACAAACCACAAAGCCCACACCTTTTTCCTCTGGCATTATCTGTATACTTCTTGTTGCTTTCTCTTGCTTTCTGAATCAGTTCTAAAGAATTTCTGGGTTCAGTTTGCTTCCATTGCAGTTGTGTCATCAAGAACACAGTCGAACTTCAAATTTTTAAGAAAGAATCTTTATGAATGTCTGACACCTTTCCCGTGGCTATAGCTTGATTCATAGCCATGGCAAATTTGCTTTGTCTATCTCTATTAGTGATCTTTCTAGTTTTCCTTATTCCCATTCTATTTTGCCATTTGACAGTGTCAGCATTAGGATCTGTGTTTACCAAAATACTGTCTTTTTCTGAAAAGTACCTAAACTCTGATTTGACCAGAAATGCTTCAGCAGCCATTCAGCACTTTCTTTGTGTGTGTCTGATAGCGAAATCATAGTTAAAAATGTATTTGGGAAAGAAGGCACCTGATTGTTGCTTTCTTGAGGTTTAACCTGTTGAGGTTTTCCCACTCTTACTTTAATGGGGCAATCAGCCTCACTGAATTTCATCAGCTAGTTTTGTAGCGAGGGAGGAGGCATATGTGAAGATGAACAGATGACCAACTTAGCACATTTATTGTCAAGAAGTGACAGAATGCTTCTCCCATGATTATACCTCGTTAGATTTGTTTAAAATTTCTAGTAAATATTTTTCTTTCAGTTTCAAAGCAGAGGAAAGGACTCTGAGATAGAATGAGTTTGGAGAATGTCATTAACCTAAAAGCTAAGGAGTTTTCTGTGGAAATTATTCAAAGAGTGAATATGGAACTTTGTATATTGTCCTTTTAACTGCATTTTTTAGAGTGTAAATGCACCCCCTCTGTAACTTGATATTTTCAATTACTCATTTTTAATTGTAGGACTAAGTATATTTGCATATTGAGAGAAAGAAAGTTTAGTTTACAGTTACTAAGTTTTTATCAGGGCAAGGTCAATTGTTACATGAACAAGTCCTTAATTTTTTTAATCACAGCTATTTAAATTATTTGTTTCTGTCCCCCAGGAATTTAAATTCTAAAATATTCCCAGGATCAGTGAGCAGAACACAGGTTATTTATTCTTTCAGAAACTAAGAGCACGCTAGTTGTGCAAGTGCTCTCAATTCACTGTATCTGTAGGCATCTACCTTACTCTACTGAGTATATAAGGAACTTGATTTTGTGTATTTTATTTAGGATAAGGTCACAACATCAACAGTCAATCTGTCTCTCATCAGGTAGATGTTACATACAGCTAATTCATTCATAAGGGAGAAATTTAACTGGTATGAGAGAGAAACACTTCAGAAATTCTGCTAAAGATAAACTTTTAAATGTAAATATTGTTCTGTGTCACAGCAACTTTAAAAAAAAAAAATCTGTTCCATTTTGGGAAGTGAGCGAGTATGAGTTGACTTTTATAGAGGGATGAGTTTGGATAGCTCTATGCACTTAGGGTGCATGTGGGTAATTTTTTTTTCCTGTGTTCCAAGTGGTTTTTTACTGACCTTAAATTAAAATCCATCTTACTATGTTTGACTTTGGTCTGTTGCCCTGAAGTAATTTCTGGCTCTAGGTCTCTTTACAAAATCATATAGGAGGAAGTAGACAGTAAGGTAAATCTGAATCGAAATCTAAATCTTTGGGTAAATATAAATCACAGCACTATTGAGGGTAGAAGGTAATACTGAATAAAGTTGTCTAGTAAAGTATAGATAAAAAAAGTGTATAGGCCTTTTTTCTCAGTGTGAAAGCTAAGGTACACTTAAGAATGGTCCTACCAGACAATAACTGGCTGTGATGATCCCAGGAGCTGTCCTGAAGGTACCAGGCTTGTGTTCTGTATACAATGTGTATTCCACTTAAATAACAATGTCTTGTCCTGTGTCTTTCTCTTAGAAAATTACTGCTGCTACTTACTGACATGTATGTTCCATCCCTTCTCTGTCCAATTGTAGATGTACTCCAACAGAGTTGCTTTAAGTGACGAGTTCATCGCACTGCAGCCATTGTCCAGGGCAAGGAATCAGCTGAGCAAAATTAGGTAGAGTAGGAGGGACAGTTCCTCATCAACTCTTATGCATGCTGAAGGTGGACTAACCAGTGCTGAGAGAGATGGGAAGAGGCATGAATATTAGTGGGTTCAGAGGGCAATACCTGTAGTGCCAGATACATTCAGTTTGATTATTCTTGGCTTTGCTCTGTGTTTTTGAGCCAAATGCTTCTCTTAAGTAGCATGTGTTGTACGTGCTTTTTTTTTTTCTTTAGGAAAAAAACATCCCTAGCATGATGCTCAAGTTTCTGAATACAAATCTAGCTCTTCTTGCATCTATTTTTAAATAATCACAGTTTATAGCATGGTTATAATGCTTTCAATTTCTTTATGTCCAAAATTAACAGTGCTTTCTGCATGTTGGATAATTTCAGCTTCATAAGGCCATGACGGGAAGGTCCATATATTTCAGGCAGCAATTTCTTGCGAGTTGTTTGCCCATTTTAATTTGCTTTCACTTGTGTTGAAAGGGCAGAAAAAGTTTTAAGTTTGGGTGCCTACATTTGTGCAGCTAAGGCTTCTTGTGTTTGTTTTGTGCATCTATAAAGTGAGTGTTTTTTGTTTTCAATGTGTACGGATACATATTCCTAAAGGCATTTGGCTACAAAGTCCTAGTAAACTGTTCACAAAAAAGATCAAAGCATGTATGTCTCTGTAGGTGAACCATTATGATTCTGAAACTCTTCAAATGCACTGACTTCAGTACTTGAAATGTTATCAAATGCTGATTCTCATTTGTAAGACTAAAATATTCATATGCATCAATGATATATCAACCTGTTTGATGTTTTATTCCACCCGTATCTACTTCTGTAGCAAGAATTAATGCGAAGAACTGATTCATTTTAAATTTTTTTTCAAGTGACCATGCTGTTTAAAAACATGCAAATAGGTGCTAGGAGAACCAGCCAACCTACATTTTTGGGACTTAATTGCCATTTAACTGAGGGAAAGTAGGAGACAGAAAGGTGACATTGTAAACAATTAGCAGAAAATGTTTAGTGGTTAATTGAAACAGATGATACAGGTCCTTTTACAGAAACAGATGATACAGGTCGTTTTACAG